TGGGTATAGGTTCTTAAAGAAGTCCCCAGCATTGAGGTTGAAAAGACCGAAAGGGTGCCTCCACCCTGAGGCACCATTCATTCTTCCCAAGTGTAAGAGCAGGCCAAATTGGACTATTAGATGGACAAGCAGTGGGAATAATCACCCCTTTCCTAAATAGGTCCTGTATAATGGATTTCAGTCATTAAAGGCCCTGTTTCAATATACATTGGGCCATATTAACTATTTTAATGGAGGAGGGGTAAGTCCATGGGCTCTATTTTATCAAGGCAATTTGTAAGTGTCAAAGATTAATTTTAATTCATTATTCATTGAGTCAGAGAGTCCATGGCTACTATGAGATATTTTACAATAGGTGCTATAACCATGGGGAATTTAGGTAAGACAGTAGTTCCTGTGGTTAAGGTGAGGCATACCTGTTTATCCTCAATATTGTGTTCACCAATTCTCCTAATATTATATTATTTAAACCTTGTTTAAATTTAGCAGGATGCCCAGTATTGATTAAGGGCACGAAGGTTTGCGAATTGGTGTTTTTCAGCAGATGTTAATTTAAAGCTGTGTTAATAGAGGCACAAAAGCCAATTCCTGCCCTTTTATGTTTTTGTTGTATAAATTCTTTTTGTAAATTTTGAATTACCGATGGGGCCAGATTGTGGACTTCTGTTTGAGTTTTTGTTGTTTCCTCCCTGGAATGGACTGAATTGTGTCTCCTCAAATTCATATATTGAAGACCTAACCCTCAATGTGACTATATTTAGAGATAGGGCCTTTAAGGAGATAATTAAGGTTAAATTAATGAAGTCATAAGGGTGGGCCCTAATCTGCTAGAATTGATATTCTTGTACAAAAAGAGTGACCAAAGATCCTCCCCAACCCCCTTAACACACACACACACGCAGAGGAAAATCCATGTGAGGATTTAGCAAGAAGGCAGCTAGCCACCTGCAAGCCAGGAAGAGAAACCTCAAAGAAGAATTTCTCTTCCTAAGAGTGAAAACACATTTGAGATGATTTGCTTTTATTTATTTACTTTTAACATACCATTTCCTTACATACATATTTGTTAAGGGCATTTAACTCCTCAGTTTTTAAATTGGAAAGGAAAATTGTATAGCTGAAAGCTGAACACAGATTCTAAAACAGAAAGTGTATACAGAACATAGAGGGTAGCAGATAACTAGATTATTAGATATACATCTGATATTTTAACTGGGTGATGCTACATAAAGGTATTCTTTTCTTGGGGAAGATTTCTGAGAATTTATGAGTTGAGCTGAATCTATTAAAAATAGTTGAATCTAAAATTTTAACTTCTGTAATTATATAAATAATGATCATTAATAGGTCGTATAATAGAAATATTTCTCATTAGGGAGTTTCAATCTCTATCAGATAGAAATGGACGTTTCCTCATTAAAATATGAAAATACAATAAATAATAAGTATATTTAAAATTTTTATTTTTATTTGGCCATAATTTTTTAGTGTCAAATAAATTGCATAATACTTTGTAATTGATATTTTATGATCTAAAGCTGTGAGGGAAAAAGTGTATATAAGTTACTTTAAAAATATAGTGTGCTTTCCTCTACAGCCTCTAACCCCTATACCCCAAGAATGTTAAGGATTTTTAAAGGTACTTAAAGGTACCAAATCTTTGAATACAGCAGGTTTTACGACAAAAATCGATCCCAAAGGGACATTATTTGGGAATACAATTGAAATTTCCATATATGTTTTTACTTTAGTAGATATATTTTGAGGTCACTACATAAAAATATTGGATAATTTGAAAACTTACTTTTAATTTTGTATTCAGTATGGAGATTTATTCCCAGAGTGGGGCTTTTCTGATGCAAAATTGGAATGCTTATGTAGTCACAACAGCTGTCCCCACACCATGTGGTTTCTTCCATTACTTTACTGTAGAGATGAATTTTTGGCCCTGTGTTTCAGTAATATTGGACACACATGGTTTTAAGTGGCAAAGCAGTATTCTTATGCATTCATTTGACTTTCACAGCTACAGTTGGCTCCAGATTAGAACAGGGAGAATACATTCACACCATGGCCACCCTCATGGCTGCTGTAGTAGCTGGATCACAGTAGGCTCTGTTGCTTCTAAAGACACAACTAACTATTGCTGTGGAATTACACATTCAACAAAGTACCTTACAGACATAGGAGAGAGAATAATGAATTGCTAAAATGGTTCTCTCAGATTTCAGATGATGGTCCTAGTTATTATCGATCTTCTTAAAAATATTAATAATGAAAATCATGGCATGAAATAACTATGAATCCAGAAGGAAAGATTGTCATAGCAGTAGGTAATTTTTCAGGTTATCAATTCAAATATTTTATTTAAAATTTTTCCTTTCCAGAAAAAAAGTGGTACTATACTTTTAGACTCTCATTATAAGGAATTAAAATCAGATTGGTTTTTAGTGCCTATTCTCATATATGTAGCATATTTGGAAAGCCAATCTATTAAAAATATGAGTTAAAGAATTAGTTAACTATGTGAAACAATGATTTATATTTTTGACATTTTAGACAATTTGCTCTAAAAATATTTTTTTTAATTAATGCGGAAATTAGATGATTTAGTGTGAAATTGCATTGATATACTAAGTGGTTTGCATACTGTATCATTGTATATCATCATGCAATTTCAACTTAATGTTCTTCATAGTATGGTTTTATAATGTAAGCTTATATTTAAATTCTCCTTAAAACTTAACTCTTGCATTCCTGAAACCCATTGGTATAGGTGTGAAAGCTTCAGCTTTTAGCAATAAAACTATGACTTCCTTGAAAATCTAATTATGTTCTTCTAAATAGTATCTGAATAATACTTTTTGCCTTAACTAAAGTAAAAATAAAGAAGCAAAAAGAAAGAAAAAAACCCTTCTTGTAAATTTTTAAATCATCTGATACACAAATTAGATTTCTAATATTCATTAAATATCAAAGAAATTCTGACCAGACCTAATGTAGGCTACCTTTTTATATAAGTGAATTTATGCATGTATTGTAGGGGCTGTACTGATGAATATGTTTGAGGCTTTCAGCTCTTAGTGGATACAAAATAGAATGATTGATAAAATCCTCCCTACTATTGGCTATTATTTACTGACTCTTAAGTGGCAGGTTGTATTTATGCCAATTTATCTGCTTCAGGGAACATTCTTGATAGCAGAACAAAGTGAATAAAAGTAGTTTGCTTTGCAAATGAATGCAAATGGGAAAGCCTTTAGGAAAGCCCTTTAACAGGGGCAGTGCACTTTGATTATGAGTGAAGCTGCCATTTGGACATGGTGAAAAGAGCACGCTTGAACCATTGATTGGGGGAGACAGTAAAAAGTCAGGAAGGGCCCCGTTAAGCTTGCAGTGAGGCAGGCGGATGTCAGTGTGGTTAGAGCACAGTGGGAGAATGACAGGGAGGATTAGTGTCAGGGAGAAGCTTTGCTGTAGCTGTGGAGATAGTCCCTGGGGTCACTCACCTCTGACTGTTGTTCTGTGCTGATGGTTCTGTAATGCAAACTGCCTGATGTATGCCTGTTCATTATCGGAAATGGTGATTAGAAAAGGTATTGTCTCAAAGGTTTCCTTCTTTCTTTTCTTTCTTTCTTTCTTTCTTTCTTTCTTTCTTTCTTTCTTTCTCTCTCTCTCTCTCTCTCTCTCTCTCTCTCTCTCTCTCTCTCTCTCTTTCTTTCTTTCTTCCTTTCTTTCTTCTTTCTTTCTCTTTCTTCCTTTTTTGTTTCTCTTTCCTTCTTTCTTTTTTTTTTTTAATTAAAGGAAAATAAGGTAGGTTTCCTCAATCTCTCTGCTGACTACAAGAGTATTGTTTAATACCAGGGTGGTTACTGCCTCTGGTGGGGGATAGTTTAGTGCTAAAATGTAATGTAAAATCTCTCTCTCTCTCTCTCTCTCTCTCTCTCTCTCTCTCTCTCTCTCTCTTCCTTTCTTTCTTCTTTCTTTCTCTTTCTTCCTTTTTTGTTTCTCTTTCCTTCTTTCTTTCTTTTTTTTTTTTAATTAAAGGAAAATAAGGTAGGTTTCCTCAATCTCTCTGCTGACTACAAGAGTATTGTTTAATACCAAGGTGGTTACTGCCTCTGGTGGGGGATAGTTTAGTGCTAAAATGTAATGTAAAGTAATTGTAATGTGGTTGTTTGTTATTTGGTAATTTCTTTTGCCTTATTCAGTTTGTGGTTTGTCTGCTGGTTGTGCTGAGTAAAATGCAGAGAATATGTTCACTGTTAGAATTTTTGCTTGTGCGGTTTTGTAATCTTTAAGGTATTTTATTATTGAGTTTAATAATTTGGTCAACTTTTAGAAGCTAGTTACCTTCTGAAAAATGAAATTTTGCTTTGCGTGGACTTGATGGTTTAAGTCTTGGTCACAAGACTTTCTCATTTTATTTCTGCTCCAAAGTTTTATAAAATGTTAGCATTTAACAAGTTAAACTTCTTGAAAATACATTATTTTAAAAATTGAATATTGTTACATAGAATGAATTTAAAAAGTATCTGTCTCAGTTGTGATTGTAAACCAGTACATTTATTTGCTCACATTTTCATTTGTACTTGTAAGATTTTGTTTTGTTTTCTTAAAGTTTAAATAGTAATGTTACGTGAAGCATTTGTGAGTAGCATTTCATTTCATAGCAAGAATGCATTTCATAGGCTTTGAGAATAGCTTCTCACTTAAATGCAAAACTGAATGGTCTTTTTTTTTTTTTTAATGTCTTCAAAAACCTGGTTTTGCAATATTTCTGCTTTCTTATTTGGTATGCAAAGGATAATAAAAAAAGTCTGCTGGAGCTTTACATTCTTATGTTAAATATGCAACTCAAACTTTATTTAAACTATTAGATACATTTTAGTATTGTTTTTTGCAGAAACTCATTGCTGATCATTTGTTTCACAGGCTTGTTAAATATTTCAGCAAGGATCCTCCCAATTACCTTCTTTATTTTCTTTAATGTTTTGTAGGCACCTGAATGGACAGAAGACGACCTCAGCCAGCTGACAAGAAGTATGGTTAAGTTCCCAGGAGGGACCCCAGGTCGATGGGAAAAGATTGCCCATGAATTGGGTCGATCTGTGACAGATGTGAGTTCACTCAGATTTGCATTGTATGGAGAGTGACAAACCAGAACAAGCCAACTATGTAGAAGGCAGACAGACATGGGCCCGACATTATCTTTGGAGGAAGACTACAATCCTTTTAAGACCAGGAAGTGAACCATTAATGAAATAAGCAAGAAGCAGATGTGAGCCAGTCCCCTAGACCACAATTAACAGCTGTATGAGGAATTCTAGTGTTTAGAGACTTATGCTACTCTAACTTAATTACAGAAAAACAATGCCAGTTTTTGTGTTTATAGTGACCCCTTTAACTGTGGGAAAAAATAGTTCTCAAACTGATCAGAATTAGAGAGTTTGTATTTCAGCTGGATCTTTTTAACATTGAAGTACAGATTGCTATTTGTATTTAGATAGGTGGTTTGAATTAACTGAGCAATATTCCTACATGCAAATGGAATGTTTGTCTTTTTATTTCAAGGATGATACCATCCATCCATTTTGACAAGTTGTTTAACCAGAAGAAACTATATGTGTGTACACACACACACAAACACACACACATACACACACTATATATATGTGGCCAAACCTAACATTTAAAAGACAAAGTATTTACCTAGAAAGTTTTTGACTTAACATTTGGGTGCTTTTTCAGTAGAGTAGAGAAGAGTAGAGTAGTTTAGAGTAGAGAATCTTTTAAAAAGCAGTTAGCACAGTATCTGACATGTGCTAAATACTCAGTAAATGTTTAGTTGAAATTGAAGAAAAATCTTTATTTTTATCAGTTATCTAATTGATATTTTCATAAAGGATAGTAAGCACTCTTTTCTAGATTTACTTTAAATAAATCCTATAGATCTAAAAATACATAAGGAGTTATTACTGAAAGCAAAGATTTGAATATTCCCTTCAATTCTGTTAGTGCTGGTGTACCTTTAGGTATTTTTTGATAACGAACAATGAAAAAAACCCGCAAAATGATTACTAAAGACATCTACTAAAAGCAAAAAACAAACAAAAAAAAACTTGTTATAAATGCTGTAAGTCACTTTCTATAGTAAACTTCTACTTTTTAATGTAGAAACAAAACTTAGAATAACTATAACTCTCAAGGCCTTTCTTTTCTTCTTTCCTTTTTGTGGATGAGGGAAGTGGTGGGAATAGGACCTGCTTTGAGAATTTTAAGTTATATATATGCATATTGTTACTACTAAACAAGTCTTTAAAATCACATTTAAAAGACTACTATTTGAATTTTTATAAGATGTTTTGCATTATTTCTGGTTCAGAGTTAAAGTCTGATCATGATGGAAAATAGCTATTGTATCTAGTAACAAATTTTTTTTGCTGTTTCATGAAGAGACCAATTACCTTGAGTGACTGAAGAAAAACCATAAATATACTTTCATGTACCTTTACATACCTAAGAATGTTACTGAGATGTACATATTATTATCTATTTTTAAGGTTTTTTATAAAAGATAAGTTAATAATGACTTATTAGTAAATATCTGGCCAAATTAAGTACATTTCGTGGTTATTGATATTTTAATTTCAATACTATGACTTTATTATACAGCTGCTATTAATATAGTAGTAAACAAAAATTACTAAAATAAGTTTTAGAAAGTTACAAAAAAATTGGTTTAAAAGGACCCAAAACTTTTAGTTCAATTGCTTAATGAAAAAGAATAGTACACTAACTTAGTATCTCCTTTGAAGACAGCACTACCTTTAATTTTTTAGGTAATATTTCTGTGAAGCTCTTCTACATTTAATGCTAAAGGCAGATAGGAAATTGAGTGGAGCAGTATTTTAAATTAATTTGTTGTCATTAAAACCTGATTTTTTATCTGTATTTTTAAGAGGAGAGAGATGTAAGTTGTAAAAATGCTAAGAATATGTATTGTATAACTAACAGTCTCCTAGATCTAGAATAGCTATACTTAATTTACAAGAGTAGTCTTAGTGCAAAGCCATCTTTTTTTTTTTTTTTTCCTTTTTGTCTTTTTTCGTGTCCGGCAACGGATCGCAACCCTCAGTGTCGCGCCCGTACCGGACCGGGACCGGCAACGGGATCGCAAACCTCGGTGCTGCGCCCGCACCTCGCTCAGCCAGTGAGCGGGAACCGGTCTGTATGTGGGATCCGAACCCTCGGCGGGAGCGCCACCGCACCCCCAAGCGGCGCACTGTAGCAGTGCGCCACTGGGCCAGCCCCAAAGCCATCTTTTTAAACTTTTGCAAATTCATCCCATGTGTTTCCAGTTTTTTCTCCTAGCCTTTACCCAAGGGAGACTGATTACGTGTCTGCAATAGATATTTTTTTTCCTTTTATAATGGAGTGACAAACGTGACTTTTTGAGGTTTTTGTTGTTGTTTGCCAAGTGCTTGTTTTCATAATACCAAAAGTACCTTGGAAATAAATATTTAACAAACCTAAGCTTTTGTGCCACCAAAGAATGCCACTGTAACTTTTATTCTATGTCAGTATGTACGAGGGTACTTCAAAAAGTTCATGGAAAAATAGAATTAAAAGATAATAAAAATCTATCCATGAACTTTTTTGGAAGACAGCTCGTATTTAGACACAGTGCATTTTCATTCTGTAAGCATCATCTCTGTAGCTGGACTATACATTTCATTGCAATAACTACACACACACACACACACACACACAAACACACTCACGCACACCCAATAAATCACTCTAAAAGAGAACAGGTGCTGAAGACTCAGCTAACTCGTTTTAGTAACATACAGGAATGACATTGTGAACTACATTTAGGCAACTAAAATGGGTTCAGCTAGTATAGTTCATTTTGTAGAATGCTAAGTGAAAATTAACCACACTTTAAAAGATCACTTATGCTTCTTTTTGGCTTCTGGTGTTAATTAGATTTGTTTTCATTAAGTATTTGGTTATGAAAAAGAAGCCAGGTTCAGTTGATTGTCATCAGAACCTCTGTATACTGCCCTGATCACCTGACCAGTTCTCCTTGGCTCTGCACAGCTGTTCTTTGACCTGGTTTCCTTGCTAAATTTGTAGCTTCAGGCTTAGTTCTCTCTACTTCAGGAAACAATTGACCTTTTGGGGGGAAAGGTGAGAGTATGCCATTGATGGGACCTGTGTGGTTCTTTATTTGGGTTGACACATCACGGTGAAAAATCTTATTTTATTAAGAAAGGAAATAAATGTATTAATTATCATAATTATAAGAGATTGCTAAATTTGACTGGATAAATACAAGCAATATTTTCAGTTTTAAAAAAAAAATTTGCAAAGTATATTTTAACTCATATATCTAAAATGTAAGATCTACTTTATTATGGATTAAATATTTTAAATGTTAATACATACCTTTTAGCAAATAATTTTGGTAACCATAAAGGACAGTCAAACTATAAAAACAACAGAGGAAATAAAAACTGTCTGGAATGCAAAACCACTTTAATGTAATTATTAACTGCAGGTTTTCTAAATTAAGGTCAGGGAGCCTCAGATTTCTTGCTTGTGAAGTAACATTATTCTCTTGCCTGAAAGGATGTAAACTGATTCTGCTTCTCTCCATGGTCACTAATCTCTGCATTCTGGTTGTGATAACAGACTGATTGGAGATTTTCCGCCTGTTTGGAAAAGGCCCAGGTAGGCAGCAAAACAAAAGACAGGTGGCTAGATTTAAAAAGACTTTTATAATTAGTTTAGTGCCATCGTGTGAGTTAAAAGGTGTATAGTTAGATAAGCAATCCATTATGCAAGTGAAGAGGAGGAGGGAAAATAAAATTCCCAACTTTGTTTTATATAACTACAGATAGCGAGGAGATAGAGAAGATTTTATATGTTGCTGTTGTGGTGGTTGTTTCAAAAACACATGAGTGGATTTTTCAATTGAAAGTAAGTTTTATGGTTTATCATTGAACTAAATATATAGTTATTTCAGCAAATATATTGCTATTACTTTTAGAGTCAGACTAGCCCTACACAAAATTGTAAAGATGATGTGGAATGTCCTTTTGGTTTTCTGTATTAATCCTCCCTGTCCCCTTACCAGCTTCCTGCTGTAGCAGTTCTCTTGGTCTGTGCCTCATCTTATTCTCTCCCTTCTTCCCTTATTCTCTAACCTTACAACCTTTAAAGGTATTTAAATTTTAGAGAGGAATGGATACTTTATCCCATTCTCCTTGCTAGATGAGTCACTAGCTAGTCTAATAATTTTTATATGATATTAATAGATGATAATTTAATGTGTTACCAAATATCATACACACACACACTTGTGTTTTAGTAGGAGTCTGCAGGTTTTTATCCTAAGGTTAAGAATGATTGGTGTAAGAGTTTCAGGCAACCTGGTTGCCTGTTTGAAGGAGAGAGAAGCAAGAGTGTTATTTTGAAGTATTAGGTCCTTTTGTGCCCATCAGATAAAGCTACATAATTAATTACTTAATCTCTCCATTGGCCTGGTTAGAGTTTTGCTATATATTATGTAATTTCTAGAGCAGAAGTTTATAGATTTGCATTCCATGTCACCACTTTTATTTCAACATTGAGCAAAGTCACACACAGGACATGATTATAAACTGTATATTCACTTCGTCAGAATAACATTGCAAAAATCATTTAAGAGATCAAACCAACATTTATTTATTTATTATTTTTTTAAAGATGACCAGAAAGGGGATCTTAACCCTTGACTTGGTGTTGTCAGCACCACGCTCTCCCAAGTGAGCTAACCGGCCATCCCTTTATAGGGATCCAAACCCGTGGCCTTGGTGTTATCAGCACCACACTCTCCCAAGTGAGCCACAGGCCAGCCCTCAGACCAACATTTTTTATTTAACTGTGTTAATGATAAATTTATTTCATTGTTCATTTTTGTAGTATTTTACACTTTTTAAAACATTTAAATATATATTATTTTACTTGATCTTTACTATTACATTGCGAGGTAGATAGGCAACCTTTATTTATCCCTATTTTACAGCTGAGTAAACTGATGCTAAGATATTTCTTCAAGGTGACAGAACTGTTAATTAGTGAAATTGGGACAAAGCCATATATTTTGATTTCTTATGTAATATGCTCTTACCACCACTTAATTTTCCTTTATTGCTGTGTATGAAAAACACTTTATCTAGACTCTTATCATTAGACCTTTTTAAATAAAACGCTGTTCATAGCAAAAAAGAAAAGGAATTTTAAAAAATACACTCAATTAAAAATGTTTTCCTCTCATCCACCATAATAAAACATTAACATTTTGTCATATATTGTAGGACATTAGTCTTCCTTATCTAGGCTTATGAATGTATATAATTTTAACAGTATTAATCTGTATCCTGTCATTTTCACTTTGCTGTGGAATGCGAGCATCTTTTCATGACAATAAATAACATTCACATCATTTTTCTAAACAATTACAGAATATTCCATGTTGCCATGATATAATTAATGAGTATCCTACTTATTGACATTTAAATTGCTTCCTTTTCTGCTATTTTATTAAGGTGGACAAGCTTATTAAAAAAACTCATCTCTACATATACCTAGTTATTTTCTTAGCTTGTATTCCTAGAAGTAGAGCTACTTAGTTCAAGAATATGAATGTTTTTAGAACCTTTGGTGGCTGTAAAGTTGGCCTCCAGAGAGGTTAGAACAATACACAGTCCCACTGGTGGTATATGAGAGAGGTCAATTCTTCATACTCTTAAATGCTGAATATTGTTTTTTTATTTTTCAACATTGCTGTCAAGTGAAAGAATGTTATAACACTGATTTTTGTAAGTTGTCTCCTTAAATATTGGTCTGATTTCTAATAGAGTTTGTAGGTAGGCCAGTTGTGTCTTCTGCAAATAATACTTTTCCATTTTCTTTATATCTTATTTTGTTATCTTATATGGATTGTATTAGCTAGCAGTTCCAGAGAAATATTATATTACAGTAACAGTGATTAGTGCAGAAAAAATTCTCTATTGTTTTCTATTTTAATAAGGAAACTTAATGTTTTGCCGTTAATATCAACATTAGTCATTGATATGATATATATATTATGCTGAGGAACGTTCCTTCAATTTAATTTTTTCAATTCCAATTTATTAACAATTGTTTTCAGGAATAGATGTGAAATTTCAACAATGCTTTTTTAGCATCTCTGGAAATGATCATATAATTTTTCTCATATGACCCCATAAGGATGAATGTATTATCCAAGTCCTTTCTTTGCATTTCTAAGGTGAACTCAGTCATGTAAAGTTATTCTTTTAATAAACACCTGGATTTGATTTGTTAACTTATTTAGGATTCTTGCACTTACATATGTGAGAATATTATAGAATTTTTGGTGTTTTACTAGTTGAATATCTTTTGGTAGAGTTATAGCAGCCTTCTAGAATGAGTTTATTGCAGCCTTCTAAAATTAGTTTATTATACCAGCCTTGTAGCATCTAGATAGTCAAGAAAATATTGAATTCATAAAACAAAGGATAGGATGCCACAAAAAAAAGAATGACAACAAAAATAAGCATGCAAATAAATGAAGTAGAATAGTTGAAAGTTTTCATTAGGAAAATCTTCTGGAGAGCAGAATACAAAGACATAGTTTTAAGACATTATAGAAAAGATAAGAAACACAGGGAATCAGTGAAAGAGGTCCAAATCTGATTAGAACGTTTTCCAGTGAGAGAGAAAACAGAGATGGATCATTGTTCAATAAATAATACAATAAAATTTTCCCACCTGAGAAATGTAGGGACAACTGAGACCACTTTGAAAGAGCTTTCCAGAGTCAAGTAGGATACATGGAAAAGATCCTGGGAAAATTTATGAAGTAAGACAAATTGGAATGACTTCACATTACTCACTAACACTAGATTCTGGGAATCATGGGAACAGTGCTGATATGGATTGAATTGTGTCCCCGAAGTTTTATGTATGAGAAGTTTGATCCCCACTGTGACAGTGTTGAGATGGTGGGAAATCCTATTGTGATGATTGAAAGATGGGGTCTTGGGGAGGTGATTGGATTGTAAGGGCCTTGCCCTAGTTCATGGGCATGATTCTGAGAGCTTTAAAAGGAGAACGTGAGAGTCTCTCTCTGCCCCACCATTCTGCCATGTGAGACTCCTGAGTTACGGTCACCATCAAGGCTTTCACCAGATGTTTTCCTTGGACTTTGGACTTTTCAGCCTCCAAAACTGTAAGCAATAGATTTTGTTTTCTTACAAGTACCCAATTCCAAGTATTTTGTTACAAGCAATAGAAGCAGACTAATATGAGTGCCTTCACAGTTCCGAGGGGAAATGGCTCTGAATCTAGAACGGACGAAGTGTGATGTAAATACATGATGTGAGGACTTCTAACCTTTCTTAGAAATTTTCCTGAGGCTGTACTCCAGTAAAAAGAGGAATAAATTAAAGGGGGCAACATGAGATCCAAGAAATAGTGGATCCAAACCGAGAACAGAAATCACAGCACCGTTTGTCCGTATAGCAGGCCAAAACAGCAATACATCTAAGTTGGAGTAGGAGAGCTAAGGATTGCATGACAGGGACCCTGAGAGGAAAGGGAGGTTTTATAGAATAGATAATATGGCTGAGAACCTGGAAAAATGTTTATGGGAAAAAAAGGCAACTAGAAACTCCACAAAGAACAGAAAACTGTACAAAAGAAGGCATAGTCCCAATTTTTTTTTTTTCCTTTTTGTCTTTTTTCGTGACTGGCAACGGATCGCAACCGGCAACGGATCGCAACCCTCAGTGTCGCGCCCATACCGGACCGGGACCGGCAACGGGATCGCAACCCTCGGTGCTGTGCCCGCACCTCGCTCAGGCAGTGAGCGGCCAGTCTGTATGTGGGATCCGAACCCTCGGCGGGGGAGCGCCGTCGCGCTCCCAAGCAGCGCACTGTAGCAGTGCGCCACCGGGCCGGCCCCATAGTCCCAATTTTAATACACTAATAAGTGGAGTGATTGAAAGAATTTGATGCTGGGAACATTCTCCTTTGAGTGACACAGAAGTGTGACCACAGCATAGTACTTGTTTCAGTAGTAAATAATATTTACCTTATTATAATTAGGCAATATCTTATATGATGGCTTTTCATATTTTAAACAATTTATATATTTTATAGGGGGGTTCAGTTCTTAAAATCATCAAATTGTGGAAGACTATAGCATGTTGTTCACCAAAATATGTTTTCTCTTTCTTCTCTAGTAGATTTGTAGTGAAGTACATATGTACCCAAAAGCCCTGCGTTCTTAAGCCTCCCAAGCTCTGATATAGCTACATTACTAATTTCTTTTCGGGGGAACATAACTGAAGGAATATATGTTCATAGGAATTCTTATTCATTTTCCCCTTCCACTGAGCTGGAATACTAACCTGCAGCTAAGCTGCAACCACATGAGAAAAACAGTTCCCCTAAGGAACTGTGGGGAAACACAATAGAAAGAACCTGTAGTAAAAGAAAAATCAGATAGTGACAGATAATTTGAGGAAATATAAAACAGGTGATATGGGTTGAATACGTGCCCTGAAGTTTCATGTATTAGAAACTTAATCCCCACTGTGACAGTGTTTAAAGGGTGGGAAATCCTATTATGGTATTTGAAAGGTGGGGCCTTTAAGAAGTGATTAGATTGTAAGGACTGTACCTTTGTGAATAGATTGATCCATTCATGGCGTGGTGCTGTTGGCTTTATAAGGAAAATGAGTGAAAAGCTTAGCGCTCTCTCTCGCTCAAGCCATTCGCCACCATGTGACACCCTGCATTGCTGTGAAGAGTCATCACCCTCCAACAAGACCCTCACCAAATGTGTTCCTTGAACTTTGGACTTCCTAGCCTCTGTAACT